CTCTTTAGAATAAATCTTAACAAACATATTCATGCAAAAATAGACATATGCACATGCTCACAAATATATGCAGATATACAAATTGTCTGCATTTTTGCTACAAAAATAGAGCACCTAGAAGACAGAAGGAGGCTTAACAACTGTGCTCATTCCTAAGATTGACCTATAACTCCCATCATAAAATTCCACATTCAGTCTGTTGTGATGTAACTCATCCAAAAACTGCCCTTTTGCTGCTTTGCCACAGCTTAAATTTTAAGGAGTGTGTTTGTCAAAGCAATTAAAAGCATGAGACAGAGGATCTCCAGGTAATTTTTTTCTTTGGAAAGTTTAAAACCTGAACTTCATATTTGGCCTAGGGTGTCTTTTGCATCATGTTTGAGGGTTTATGACTTTTGGGGTCACCATTTATTTAAAAAAACAAACTAACTTTCTCAGTTTGGTCGAATTATGAGCCTTATAAAATTGTCATTTGTGTGAACTCAGGAGAGAATGTGTGATAGTTGATCTTCCAAAGAGTCCTCTCACAGCTGGCAAGTTTCAGCATACAGATGAGGATTCGAAGCTTTGTGCTGCTGCGTGTCATGGTGGATTTTGGTGCCGTCACCAGAACTGAACATACAGGCACTGTCCCAGTGAGCTCCTTATTGCCTCAACCTAATACAAGAGGGAGGAAAAACTGACCTGTAGAAAAAAGCAGAAAAGAGTGGGAAGCCAGGGCTAAGAATTGAGGTGGGAGTTGACTGTAACTGACTAAAAAACTAATATTTTATTTTATAATTTTTTGTGTATAAATAGAGAAGTAGCTTATCTTTGCATCAGTGTCAGAGACTTCTCCCCAGAATATCAGGAAGAGGAAAACATCTAAAGTGACTGGGAAGGTTTTGTCAAAAATCCTAGGCTTGGCAATCAACCATAATTTTGAGAAAGTATCCAGTGGTATAACTCCATGCCCTGGAGCGCAACGATACTTTGGATAGGCAACAACACAGACAGATATAATGCCCTTTTGACCATTCAGTGATGTGACAGAAAGCAAACATTTTTCAAGTAACTCTTTTGAAGGATCCTTCAAAGTGCGGTCAGTGGCATTTGATCCTGTGCATCACAGTTTAGCATAGAGCTGCAGTTCAGGGGTTGTGGCCATCAGGAGATTGGGCGTATTTGCTGATACCCTGTTGCTACAATAAAACATATACCCTACAAAAGCAGGAATCCACATTTTAGGATTTTTCAAATTAAATTCAAATTATAATTTGAAATTACTTTTATTGATTAATTGTCTGTATTGCTATATAGTGAACATTGAAAGAATCATAGAATCATAGAATGGTTTGGGTTGGAAGGGACCTTGAAGATCATCTAGTTCCAACCCCCTTGCTGTGGGCAGGGACACGTCCCACTAGACCAGGTTGCTCAAAGCCCCATCCAGCCTGGCCTTGAACACCTCCAGGGATGGGGCTGCCACAACCTCTCTGGGCAACCTGTTCCAGTGCCTCACCACCCTCAGAGTGAAAAATTTCTTCCTAATACCTAATGTAAATCTCCCCTCTTCCAGTTTAAAACCACTCCTCCTTGTCCTATCACTAAACGCCTTTGTAAAAAGTCCTTCCCCAGCTCTCCTGTTGGCCCCCTTTAGGTCCTGTAAGGCCACAATAAGGTTTCCCCAGAGCCTTCTCTTCTCCAGGCTGAACAACCCCAAGTGTCTCAGCCTGTCCTCATAGGAGAGGTGCTCCAGCCCTCTGGTCATCTTCATTGCCCTCCTCTGGACCCACTCCAATGGGTTTGTGTCTTTCCAATGTTGGGGGCTCAAGAGCTGGGTGCAGTACTCCAGGTGCGGTCTCACCGGAGTAGAGTAGAGGAGAAGAATCACCTCCCGTGACCTGCTGGCTATGCTTCTTTTGATGCAGCCCAGGATACGGTTGGCTTGCTGGGCTATGGTCGCGCATTGCCGGCTCATGTTGAGCTTCTGGTCAATCAGCACACCCAGGTCCTTCTCCTCAGGGCTGCTCTCCAACCATTATCCACCCAGCCTGTATTTGTGCTTGGGATTGCCCCGACAAAGAAATTGAACTGTTGTTTGCTGTACTATATACGATGCATACCTAGAAAGCAGCAGCACCAGAAATCAGGTATGCTTCATGTTTGCATGTAAAAAGACTAATTAGGGAAGAGAATTTTAGCACTTCTGCAATGCAGTCAGCAACTTTGCTTTATCTGTAGCTGTCTGCCTCTTACCCACCTCATAAAGAGGTTATAAAAACATTTAAGGTATTAAAAATTAAATTAATATTCTATAGCTCCTTAAAGAGGAGGTGTAGGTATTCCTCTTGTTCATACCTAGCATGAAGATATTGAAATGATCTGGGCAACAGATGTTACAAACTGAAAGTAGGTTGAAGATCTTAAATGTGGGAGATACGTGTGGAATTTTTAAAGAACTATATGCAAAACGATATGTGGAAACTTCAAGAGCTTGGTTGGAATTGGGAAGTGTGTAAGAAGTGTCAAGGTGCTAAAATAACATAGGAAATACGGCAAATCTGAAAGACAACTGGGTCCCATTTGGACTTCTATACTTTCTAGTGACTCCAATAGATTATAAATGCACATTGTATCTTAATTGCCAGCTATAAAATGGATGTGATAACACTATTTACCTCTTAGAAGTCTGATGGAATGGTTTTGATACATTGCCCGTCATTGTTTGGCTGATTATGACAAGGGGACTCCATCCACGATCGTGGGCACCAGTAGTGGTATAATCATACAAGGGCAGGTGTGGGTACATAGAATTTACCCACCTCTTTTCTGGACAGCAGTGCATAATTTCACCCATAGTATATACAGAGCAAGTGAGTTCATGCTCTTTTTTATTTTTTATTTTATTTTTCTGAACACTAGAAAACCATAGTTCAGCTACAATTAATAGCTAGTTTCTGAACTGAAAGCTTGAATAGCAAGTATTTCTATAAAAGTTACAGGAAAATCACTAAACCAAATGGGATCTCAGGTTTGTTTGGGATACTGAGGTGCTACATGAGTGATTGCTTATAAATAATCATGGTGTAAGTAATACATTGCAGTTACACTGGTATTTGAAAAAAAAAAATCTTTTTTTTTTTTTTCTCTCCATCTAGGAATTGCTGATATTTTTACAAAATTTGCCCACAGTACACTGGGGAAATGAAGAAGTTAGTGTACTCCTAGCAGAGGCCTACAGACTGAAGTTTGCATTTGCGGATGCCCCCAATCATTACAAGAAATGAATATAAAGAGCCAGAAATCATTAAGACCAACGTATTCTGCAGTATTATGGCATCTGTTGTTCTGGTTGTGCTTTCAACTCACTGCTTTTTCATTTGAATTAAGATGTCCATTAAAATTCTGTTAGAATTTGCAGAATGAGAACGGAATACCAAAGAAATGGACAAAGCAGGATATCGAGGATTGAGTGAACTTAAAAGTGAACTTTTTTGCTCAGCATGAAAAATGAGTTCAAAAGTCTATCACATACTTTTCTTCTTTTTTCCCCTGCTCTAATTAGGAGCATTGCTGTCTAATTTATGTGAAACAATTTTTGTATGTACTTAAGACTTAAAACTATTTATGGGATGATTTTGTCATTACTTCAGTGTCACCTGCCATAACTTTATCAGCCAGTTTTGGTCAGTAAAATTTACTTACTTTGGGAGGGAAAAAAAGAACTTTTCGTAGTCATAAAGACCATAGGAGACAGCAAGGCCTGTGTTTTGAGGTCTGGTTATAACTCAGAAGACACTGATATTCGCACACCATCTGTTGTTTTTCCATGGAATTAGGTTAGAATACTTCAATAATTTAAGGATATAGAAGGCTGTGATGGAAATTGGTGGCATTTTCTAAACATTGCCTAGTCTTGCAAGGGTGCTATAGAAGCTTTTAGCCACACAGAGGAGTTACTTAAAGCTGAAAACTCATCTATAACACTAAAATAAATCCCTCTCTATACATTTTGGAGTGGTTTTAAAATATCAAATGAAATAGATGATGTGGTCTTGTCAAAGTAATTAAAGCTTTTCTTTCAAAGCCTTTCAATTTTCCAGCATGAAAGTTCACTTTTAAGAAATGTATTAAGAAGCTTGGTTTACAAAGCAAGATATATTTTTATCTCAGTTGTTGCCTTATTCTCCATTTCTAGCACATTAGAAAAGGAAAATTAATATATCTTTCCAAAGCTTTTTTGCTAAAAAATTTAATACCATTTATCCTGATTATTGAGAGGAAGCGAGAAGATAGTTCCCAATAACAATAACAGTAACTGTATACTCAGATCACTCTTGCGTCATTAGCAGAATGTCCTCCATGACTTTATAGAATGCAATTAATGTTTCTTCATATACTCATGGGATACTGAATAATTTCTTAAAGCTTTCATAATTTAAGTGCGCTATTTATTTTCAAGAAATCTTTTCAGATGAGAATTCTGATGTTGCTCTATTGGATGTAAATAACTCATATAAATTTGTGCCTAACCTACACATACAGGCTGTTAAGGGTGAGAGTTGCAATAAGCAATATACTGGAAGCTCAGAATTGTTATTCCTCAGTTCAGTTCTTGAGTTGCACAACGTTGCACAAAATGTAGTGCCCTTTTAAGTTTGGGAAGTAAAAGATCTTCAAGAGGTTTTCTCTTATAACTTGTTATTGGAGGATTATTTTCAAGTTCTTAAAAATATGTAGATACGTATTTTAAAAAATATGTAGATACATATTTTAAAGAAAGCTTTCTAGATGTGTTAGTTACATTACTTGTTTTAGGGGCCTTAGTTCTTGACACTGACTTTATAAGAGTTAGGTGTTTCAGGGTAAATAGAGTAAAATACATCTTTACCAATGTGTGATTATGAGATCCGTATTTTAAAATTACGTGGAATCTTTGGTAGAAGAGAAAAAACTGAATTAATTCAGAAGCAGGAGCATTTGGTGACTAGGATGCATTTCTGTTCCTCTGGTGTTGGCTGGGCTTTTCAGTTGTGATGGATACAAGTTCAGGCCTTCTACAATGTGTCATGGATTGTGTTTCTTCAATGTCCGTATACTGTTTTCTGTAACTTCAGTTCATGGTCTAATGTATCAAAACTTATCTTTATGTTTACAAATAATGTCATATTGTGCCTAACAGAATATCTACCAATAACAGAATAAAAGAAACCTGAAATTTATTACCATTTGCTTTAAACTTAGTATCTACAATCATTTGTTAATAGAGATGCATATTATTGTAATGAGAGAAGACACGCAGCATTAAATGTACAATGTTGTAAGGGTTTTCTATAATTAACTTTTTTTCTATTAAGATGTTATTTAGGTATTGTTTAGGTGTTATTTTAACATGGAAAGTTGACCCAAAGTTGTCTGCTGTGTCAGATGCTCCTGCATAACATTTATGGGACTGGATATATAAAATGTACTTCATCGGGTCCACATAAGTTGTCTGCCATGTCTTCCAAATTCAACAGGTACCTCTTACTTCCCTTGGAAGAAAGTATTACCATTAGAGGTCACATTTACTATTGTGTCTGTGTCAGAAGTTGAATATTGTACTTGAGCACATTGCTTTTTAAGGATAGTGGGAAGTTTCCTAATATAATAACAATGCTTATTTATGTAGATGTAGACTTTTCTGGAAAATATAATCTAGATATATAAATAACGTTTATATATCTATACAGATAGGAATAGTTTTCAGTAAACAGAAGGCCAACATTTACGTAAAATTTCGATTTTCAATGCTTTAAAATTTACATAAAATATTTCATTTTAGTAAAAAAAAACCCAACAACAAAACCACCTTACATTTAACAATTCTACATCTCAGGTAAAATGTCATTCCAGGCAAAATATTACATAGAGAAGGAAATAACATCGTCATTATTACATCCCATGCACTTATTTTTTTCAAAATTCAAGATTCTAAATATTATAAAATTCCTTTGTAATATGTATTTTCTTATGAAGGAGGCATCTTGACACATCACTGGTGAAACCAGGCAGTAATTTCCTAGAATTCATGTGAAATATTGAAATTGTAGTGTCTAAAATGCGTGTTAAAGAATTTCTGTAATAAAAATTTAAACAAGAATGTACAATATAAAAAGATTTATGACTACAGTATTTGAAAAATGTAAATAATAAATTAGTTAACTATGTAAATACAGTACATGGAGTAGGATAGAAATGTGAGTTGAAATCTTATGTAACTCTGTGATATGTTATAAGAAATTAGTTTCATTATTTTTCGGCTCAGTTCCTTATGGAAAGGCCCATGAATTTGTTTTTAACTTCAGAACTACAGAATAGAAGTATCTGAAGTTCCATTGTATGCTTCCGACAAATATTAACACTGAGGCACTGGTTAAAACTGTAAAACTGATGAAAGATGAGGAAATAAATGCATATTTATGAAGTGCTATATCGAGTGGAAAACTTTTTTTATTGTTTTCATCAAGCACATTGCATACTACATCAAAGCATGTTTTTGGTGTCTTTATGTTTTATGGTCTCAAACCCTGTATCGCAAGAGTAAATGCAGAAGCAACACCTCTGTTACATTTCTTCAACTCCCTACCCTTGTATCTTGTAGATTTTGCAAGTTAATAAGACAGTCAACTTCCAAAGGTATGTCTCTGCATATACCATATACATATAAAGTACTGAGCATTTTCTGCAAAAAGCAGATGAAGATAAATGTGACACCACAGCAGAATTAAACTGGGGGGCAAGTGGAGCAAATCAGGGCAAAGCAAACAAAGGATTTCTATATGTCTCTGGAGGCGAGGAAGGAGAGGAAGCTTCAGCTCCATGGGGGGGAAACAGGAACAGGCAGTGAAAGGGTCATTAAGATCTGAAACTTAAAGATGGTTTGAGTAAATTAACAAGCAAGGAGAGACGTCCTGTGCATATAGGAAGGCCAGGTCCCTTATGTCAAGGAAGCTAGTGGGAGACGTCCAATAATCCATTTGAGTCTGATGAGAAAATACAGTAACCTGCTTAAATGGAAGACAAAGTTAGTAACTTTTCTGTTTAAAACTACACACAGCATTCAGGAAAGAAGAAATATAATGATGCAATGGGCGATCTTTCTGTTACACGCTTGAGTGACGACGAATTGTGACCACGCTGGTTTCTCACCTTGAAGGAAATTTGTGTTTCTTCATCTGCTGTAATCTTCTGAAGATCCTGCAGAAAATCAGGAGAGGGAGATTTTTCAAACTTCTTTTTCAAAAGCAGAAGAGATCAAGAAGGTGGGGTAAGGGTCCCGAGTTCTCACAAGGAATGTGCAGGGAGACATAGCTGAAAGGTATTTGTTGATTTTTCTTGTACAGAAACAGTCCTGGATATCTATCTTATGTCCTGGGCAGATATCTCACAAATATAAATGTGAAGTGCAACAGAAAGGACTTTCCAGAAATCTGATCCGCACTTCAGGTCAGTTCCTTCTTGAAAACACAGTGGGGAGGAAGCGAAGTGCTTTGTAGTGCTTTAAAATCTTTGGAGATGGGAAAAGGAGGCGAGGTTGGAAAGCTCCCCATCTGGCAACCACTCAGGCAGGATGCTGTGCCGTGGGAAGGAACTCCAGCTCAAGTGCTCCTAATCACTGTATGATGGAGAGTGAAGTTCCTGAGCAATTTAATTCTAGATCATTTGCATTTTTATAAGTTAAAGCTAAAATCTTGCATCCCATCTAATTCCTTAAGCTTAGTGTAGCTGAGGCAGGACTGGAGTAAATAATTAAATTGCTATGGCACCATATCAAAGAACCTTTTAACACCTCAAAGTCTTCTGTATATACTCCACATTTAAGTCAAGACCTGTGCCAGAAATGAGAGGCTGAGAGAGATGTGATACTACAGAAAGCCTCTCAGAGACAGGTGCTTGGAAAGTTAGGCTTTTTTTTCGGCCAAAAGAATTTCCTGCAAGCTTCCAAATGAGAATTAATGTGCACAGCGAGTAAAGCATGGTTGTTTGAACTGGACTTCCACATTTATTCTTGTGATCAAGCTTCCTCAACACAGAAAATTAAAGTCTGAATTTGCCACCAGTATGTACGGAGATCCTGAGAAATTTATGCTCCTGGCACAAGCTTAAAAGTCTGAACTACAGTACAGGTATTTGTTTTGTTCCTAATACAGAATTATCTAGAGATGTAAGTCAGAAAGGGCCAAAATTTCTGGCAGAAGTCTACTGCAATTCCTTTGGTCTGCCTTTGTTATCACATTAATCAAGA